CACTTAAAAATAAAAAGTATAAAACATGTCTCTTATATTCATCTGTTACTTCCATTTTAACGAAAATAAACAACTGAAATGTTCCCAATTCTGAACAGTATTATATGAATGAGATCCAATTTAACACTTCAGTGTATAAAGTATCACATTAGACTGGCATTTTTAACAGCAAAACAAGATTTTTCTCAAGGTCATAAAATAAGCATGAACTTATGGACTTACCTGATAATTTGTGGAATTTTTTACTTGATTTCAGGGGAGGGCAAGTGACCTGTTTGCCTCCTAGAGTTTGCTCTGGATCTCTAAAAGATGATTTTTTACCTGCGGCTCCCTTGAGATTAAAGTGTTGCCATGTGGACTCATCTTTAGATTAATAAAAATCAGGAAAATAAAAAATTCAGTGTTAGAATGTCAGGGAAGTGGGATATAATTTAATTTGGAATCCATGTATAAGTTACCTATGCCTTCTAATGCCTGAAAAAGTGAAGAGAATTGAATACTCTTAACAACCCCCTTGATGATCTTGTTCTGATAGGGAAACATGACACAGCAATCCTGAGAGTGCTTTCCTGTAAGTGGACTCGGCTATATATTTTTTAAAAATCTTCAATTGTTTGTTGAAGTAGTTTAAGTGAAAACAACTATATATAAAAATAATATAAGGATGCAGCTTGTTTTTTTTGTCATGATCTAAAATCTACTAAGATAAGATGATAACATATTTATTATTATTATTACTATGTTGGTATAAATGCAAAACTTGGCTGATATTGGTGCCAAGTATCAAACCAAAGCCAACAAACCAACACACAGTTATTAGCACAATTGTTTTTTCTTGTGTGCTGTCTATGTAGTGTTGTATAAATGTTTTGAATAAGATGTGTATAGTATATATAGTATCAGTAAAAGAGTAGATTAGCAGCACAGAATTTATATCTTACCCATTTTCTATAGTTTTTTTTTTATTTCTTGTGTGAATTCTATGCACTTATTGATTTTAACAATATAGATATTTTACAAATTATGGCAATTTGAAATAGATATATCTATAATGAATGTTATTTTAATTTGGTTTGTTATGTTGAATTGTTTTATTGCTAATTAATAATCTTATCTTAATATATTTTGTTGTATGTTTTGGTACATGAGTATATATAAATTCCAGCTCAGTATACTTGCAGTAAGACCTGAGTGTTTAATAATTTATTTTGTGTGTAAATCTTTTGACTTATGTCTATTAATTAAACTGTATGTAAGCAATTTAAGTGCTTTCATCCAGCTGTGGTATGTTGCGTTGTTTCTAATGTGATTCAGCATTTTCTAAATGTGTCATCTGTAAAAGTTTTATGTATATATTTTAATAGATGTTTTCTGTAATTTTTTTATTTGTAGGTCTTATCTTGTATGACAATTATGAACTCTCATAAAATACTGTATCTCCAAATAGGTATTTCCAGACTAGACAGTAATTTGATGCAAATTTTTTTTCCTGTTAAGTCATTTCATTAAAAATTTTCAAACTGCATTACATTAATATGTTCAAATTGAGTCTCAAGTCAAATCATTTTGGTAATTCAAGTCCGATTTAACTTTGAGTTGACAGCATTTGTAAGAATTCATTTTATGGTATTTATTATGAGCTCAAGTATTTTAACAATTAGAACCACACTCATCAGATATGGCTGTCCTTTCTATACCTTGTTAAATCTTTTCTTTTTCTCTTTACTTCTTCTTATATTTACTTTTTCCATTTCCTGTGTAAGACCGAAGGGCGAGAAATAGACAAACAAAACGAAATTAATTAAACTAAAAATACAAAAAAGTTTATTTGCTTGCCCGGTTGATGCAGGTTACAAAGGATACCAACTTCACTCTATATCCACCGAACGAGACGCACATTTAATGAACCACCAAGTAATATAATACGCAACAGGAAAGTGCGCGTGTAGTTTCAGTCCGGACCGACCAACCAATTCCTTAAACTAAGTAATTTATACTATTTTCTTATTTCTAAGTGTTAGTATTGAATAGAATAGGTTTGGAAGAAAAAGACGAGAGATAGGACAGAGGGTACCCAAACTTGGTAATTGGTGCTCCTTGCGATGGTCGATGCCTCTTGTTTCTCGCAAAGTTCATCCCTTTTTCTCTTCCAGTTCCTGGGTCGTCGCCTATCCGATATGATGCTGGACCTCCTCTCAGTTAAGTTCCTTTTTCTTTTCTCGTTCCAAAGTTCTCTTTTTCTTTTCTCACTAAACGATGCTGAACTTACAGGGAAGACTTTCCTTTTTTTTTTTTTTGTCCACTCCTTCCCCTTCCTTCCTCAGTCCCACGTCCTTTCTACTCCGCTATCACTCTCAGTCTACCTTTTGTTTCTCTTCTCCACTCACTCCCTTCATTCTCCCCCTTCTTAACTCCCCCTCGTTCCTCCTCTCATCTTAGTCCACTCATATCCTCTCACAAAAGCCTTCCATTCATTTCTTTCCTCTCAGTCCACCCACACACTAAAGTCAATGGGAAGAAGATAGCATTATAGAAGAGTAAACAAATAGGACAGACGAAGATGAAGTGAAGATAAATATACAAATCATACAGTTTAAAATATGGCATGTAGCCACACCTGTCATTGCCTACACTGCTATACTTTTCATTGCTGCATATCTTCTCTGCTTCATTTCTTTTATTTCTTTTTTTTAAATCACATTGCCTCTTTTATATCTAGCAGTGGGATCATGGGTTATCTGCCTCTAGGTTCATTTCTAGTGTTACCACCCATCTGGTTTTCACCCGGACAGTCCAGGGATTGACTCACTGTCCAGGTGAACTATTAATTTTGTCTGGGAATTTCGTAGAAATTGTGAAATTACGATGAAACAAAGTTCTTGCAAATATTTTTACAAATTTACACTATTTTAACAGTGAAAGAGCTCACACTCACTGAAACTCATCTGCAATTCTGCCATGTTAGTCTGTTTATGCCGACGTGTGGTGCGCAACCTGTCGACCTTTTATTTTTTATTTTTTGCATGTATGATTGTACACATCTCCAATATCCAATAGAGCTAAGTCATCTGTACCCATTCTTTCTTAATTTAGAGTTACTTACATTACTCCTACACAAGTCCCTAGTCCCTAACTGTAACTGATTTAGAACTGGCATGCACGTTATTCTTCACATTGTAAAATGACATTGCGCATGCATCAGGAACTTCTGTTCCTACAAACTTCTGATAAAAGAAGCTGACTGAACTAGCAAGAATTCTAGTGGTGGGAGGAGTCAAGTAGTAGTTAGAAACGAGTTCAACATCGCAGCATAACTATGTGATGTTCGTTGCAACAAGTACAAAGTTCCACAAGTGGAAAGGTACAAATAAATACTCATTAGGTTTTTCAGCATAAAGTTATTTATTATCGCTTCAAACAAGTTTATTTTTCTTTTTTTGGATCCCAACACTTCAAATGGTTTCTGTACACACAGGTGTTACAATTAATTTGATCAATAAAACAGCAAGTAATTGAGCGACACAATTATGCACAGGCTGAAACTTATAACTAATCCTTATACTACTTACAACTAAAGAAGCAAAAAAAGAGAATAGACAGATAAAAATAATTTAAGATGAAGATGGAAATACCTGGGATTTTCTTGAGTTCGTAATCTTGAGTGGGACACCACTCTGGAGCTTTACTTGGAACGTTACTTCTCATCCTTCCAGTGGGCCTCTCGTATGGTTCTTTCTGTGGCTCCTTTCAAGGTCTTTGTTTAGGAATTCCTTCCTATAGATTCTCTGGCTCCACGTAGTCTCCAATCGTCTTATACTCGATCTGGAGTGCTACCTCTTTTCATCCTTATTCTTCGGAATTCGAGCCCAAACTTTTTTCAAAACCTCATAGTCTCCGATTGTCCTACATGCGATCCGGAGCACTACCTTCTCTCTTCCGTTCTTGTCAAGAACGGAAATCTCCAAGAATCTCCTGTCTCCTTCGTTCCCCAGCCTCAGGGCCCTACTTTACCTTTTGTTCTACTGCTCATTTCTTGGAATTGGTAATCCCACCCAAGGGAGAAAGGTTGGAAGGGAAAGTTCTAGGAAAAGTGAGAACAAAGGAACAAAGAAAGATTTAAAAATAACTAAAATGAATAAATATATTTATACAATATTATGGCCAACGGCCACAACTAGACTTATCAAGAATTCTGCGTTATTAAACACTGCCCTGATCTGCTGTCTGGGTCAGCGATTTTGAAAAGGTGGCAACACTATTCATTTCTATCATTCTAAAAACAACAAACAAAAGATTTTTTGTTGTTTTTAGAATATTTGAAGGTGCTCACCCAGGTAAAATGAAGTATTTAGTCGCAGATGTGAAAACAAAGGCACACAGGTCAAAACATTATATCAATATGATAATAAAAAAATGGTTCATAGACTACAAAAACTTTAAACAGTTACAATATTAATTTGCAATATATAATGTTTGTTTAGGAAGTTATACCACCAGAAGAGCCTAAATATATTCCTATCATAACTAAATCATCATCATTGTTTCGCAAGATAAAAGAACCACCATGGAAAAGCTATCCTAAATTGCCAATAATTCAAACTGCTGCTGATAAAGAATTAATGGTGAAAGGTAAGAAAATTATTCTTTATATTGTTAGTAAGGTAATATTGAGTGTCAGCGTGTCTTGTATTGTGTCAAGTTCTAGTACATTTGTTAAAAGTTTATTAGTTTTTTTGGTTTATCATTATTGATTTTCTTTTTCTGTGAGTTATTTATTATCTAATATGAAGAATTAGAAAGTTGAATGCACTTATTTGATTACTTTTGCCTTTAGAACCATCCATTAATTACATATACAGTCTAAAGAGAGCAGGGTTGTGAAAAGTACATCATTGTACACAGTTGGGAGGGAGAGGGTCAAGGCATTGTGTACATGGTCCATGGTATAAGGTATTAAAAACAGTCCATGGACTTTTTTATGATACTAGCTTACCCATCGCGCATTGCTGTGATCTCAGAAGAAAGGAAATTCAAGCAAACTCGTTATGATAAAATTAAATTTACATTTTATTATTATTCATTTTCATCGGGAAAACATTTCAAAGTGTCGTTTCAATTTTATTTATTTATTGGAGTGCTTTGTGGATACACGATATTTTTTGTTTTTCCGTCTGGTGCGTACACGAATAAATCAAAAGGTTTTCCGACATGTGAGTTGGCCACATACAGTTGTCCAAGCGAGAAACACGGATTCTTTAAATTTAGCCCACATACTCGCAGAGATTGTTAGAAGTGCGATATTCCCCATTTTTATATATTTTTTTTAATCCTTCATAATTTTGATTATTTAATTGCTCCTTCCTCACTTCCTTGGCATGTTGTGAAATTTCTCGTAGTTGGATAATAAACCATTTTATTGTAATTTGTCTTTTTAAATTATTTTGAGTCAATATTAAAATTTGGAAAAGGGGGATCCCTAGATCGGTAAAATAGACGAATTTCCTTCTACAACTTCAGTTGTTGTTCATGATACAGTTAAGGCTTTAACAAAGTTCGAGCGATTACGTAATTAGCAAAAATAAGTTGAAATAAAGTAATTAAACAAAAATTGTAACAAATATCGTAAATAATAAATGCATATATAGAGATATTTTTTGGAGGGGGGAAATGGTCTTCACAATTTGAAATCGAATGAACACACTGTGCTCGAATGCTCGTGTAAACGCGTGCCATCTATCGTAGGGTAAATGCCAGAAACCTTCGTGGGAGTGTATTAAAAAAAAACTTCTCAAAGCTTAATGGAAATCATACTATGCCACAAACCTTCGCTGGAGTATATTAAACAACTTCCCAATGTTTCACGGCAATCGGATAAACGGTGTGGTAATGCATGAAGGACACACACACAGACATACATACATTCATTTTTATATATAGAGATTAGTACATACAAATTTATTTATTGGGCTAAAATTTGAAAAAATTGTAGAATATAAATTCTTACTGTTTGTATGTCCTTCCTTAATCTCAAGAACAGTGTTAGATAGATGAAATTTGAGACCAGATATGGAAAGCTTAAGGGCAGGAGGCACTGATTAACTATATATGAACTTTCAGTCTAGACCAGAAATAATGTAAATTCAATTCAAAAATTTTCCCCCGAATGGAGTTACATTGATGAATAGCATGACACTGTTGTTATCAGGAAAAGTATAATGTACAGGGATAAGACACTACAAATTTGAGATTGAGAACATATATTTTAAATTGAATAAATTAAGAGTATGATTAAATAATTGCTTATTTTATTTACATATTTATTGCAAAATTACAATGGTGATGCTGTAGAGCAATGATTGCCTCCTTCAAAAGAACAATAAATAACAACTCCAATTAAAAATAAAAAAGGGTAAAAATTATGAGCAAAAAAGAGAATACAAACCTGACATAAACATACAAAAAAATAATAAAAATACACAATGGCTTTATAACTCTAAAAACTTACAAGATTGTGAATTTCCAATGCCACTTTTTAATAGAATATATACCATTTTATAGAGAATGCTTTTTTGATAAATGTACTGAAACTCTGTTTTTCTTTGTTTCTATAAAAAAAGCCAAAAAAACAGGATTTTTTTTCTTATTTAAGCATCATAATTAATGTAAACACTAAGCAAGAAGCTACAATGGCTGAGTTGTCTGGTTCATTGGTTCTGTGCTTTGATGTGTGGATAGTTGTTGTTTAAAGAACTATTGATAAATTCCCCTGTGCATTGTGTTTTTGCTTTTCTCCACTTAAATATCTTTTCAGATTGTGTAAATGCTTATTATTAACCTACCTAGTAAGTTTTAAAGTGCACATAACAGCTGTTTTTGTCATTTTTATTAATTAGTATGCATATGTGTGCAAATATTAGAATATTTGACAGGCAGTAGTAGTCTGTTTTGTTTTGAAAAGTATCTAATTTAAGATAAGCAGTATTCAATGAGAAAAAATGGATGTTTAGTGTTTCACATAATTCCTCTGCAAATAGATAAATTTTAGTATTTTGTCTATATGTGGTTTAAAAGTTAACTTATTTTTTAATTGAAAATTATTCCTAAGTTGTTAATCATGTTCGTTTAGTCTTGACTGATTGTTAACCATAAATGGAAAACTGAATGGCGAGCATAATAATGAATAACACATACTATAATGGCAGATTTGGAGATATTGATTTTAAAATTTAATTTTTCTAGTCTATTGGCTAACATAATTGTCTTTTTGTAAAGTTATTGGATCATTATTGATGAGTTTGATATTGTCAACATATAGTAAGATTTTTGAATTGAGTGGGTTTAAGGAACTATTTGTGTTTGTTGTAAAGAATAGATTACTGATAATTGACACTTGCTGAACAGGGTTAGGGGGAAAAACTGCAAAAATTGTAATCACCTAAGGCAGTGGTTCCCAATTAGCTGAAAGCTGAGAAACCCCTTTTGTTTTAAAGATAAGCCAGGGCACCATAATTTTTGAAAGGTTTGATATCTATATAGGTATCTGTAATTGAGATATAAGTAGCAATATTCAAAACATACAAGTATAATTTGTTTGTTTTGAATTTTTTTGTAATATTTAACCTTTATAACCTCCTCTAATAACTCTTATTTATAACAAATTAAAAAATATGACATGTACAGTATAGCAGATGTTCAATCAAAATATCATGGGAGAAATCATGCCTCTTTTTGTTTTGTACAGTTCCTTTCACATCTGGTCAATATTTCCTAATTTTAATCTTAAATCAACATCAAGACAGTTTCTGTGCTTGTTCACAAAGATATATGGAACAAACTGGAACTAGATATTTCAAAGCTTTTTCACCTAATTTCTCATAATCAGAAAATACCTTCACCCAGAATTCATCAAGTGTGCATTCTTTTAAAAATATTTTTGACACATCATCACAGATCATATCAGCAAGCTTATCTTACTCCTCCTCAGAATGAGTTGTTAATTGTACCTCATCATATTCAATAATATTTATCCCTGAGTTTTCAGGATTTGACACTGGGAAATAATCTCTGAAGCTAGTTGTTAAATCTTGCAGATGCTCAGTTATGACTTCTTTAACTTATGATGACAAGCCTTTGCTAGTGGACTTCTTCCAGTGTTGGGATATTATTGAGAATACCATCTTCAGCTTAGCTTGCTCATAACCTTAATTTTGTAACCATTACCTCAATCTTATGTACTGTACAACATAAAAAATAGTTTCTATAATATATTGAATGATTAATTGTTTCTAGAAACAAATTATGATTTTTTAATATTACATTTTGTTTAGTTAAAAATTACATAGTTTTTACTGATGATAGATGACAATTAAAATTTAATGTAAAATTTAAATAAATTTAGAACTATATTAATCAAAAACTATTTTATAATTTAAGATTTTGGTTTTGAAGCTAACTGATGCAAGAATGATTACTTATATTTACTTAATATATGTTAGTTATTATTTTTATAGTTAGTTATATACATTAAATGATAATTTTCATGTTAAATTTTATTTTTAATTTTATTTGAAACTATAAAATAATAATTTAATAATTACAATATTAATACATAATTTAATCATTTTTAGGTGCAGTTGACTATTATGGCATTACCGATCCTTTAGAATGGATTAGGATATGCAAAGAAAATCCATCCATTGAGTTTTTATATCTTGTTCCAATGATGTCAAAAGATGATGTGAATTATAATCCATATTATTTAAAGTAAGTAGAATAAAATATAACAAATACACTAATAGAGCAAAAGAAGTAAGTTTTTGTGAATAATTTTTGCATAAAATAGCTTGGAACTCATCTGAATTTGCATATTCAAAAATTTTATTATATACTGAAATCAAATACAGTGGTGCCTCATACAACATACTTAATCCGTTCCAGGTGTATGTCCGTTAAGTGAAACGTCCGTTATACGAAACGCATTTTTCCATAGAAATACATGTTAAAACATATAATTCGTTTCCA